ATACAGGAATCAATTATATTGCCTCTAAAATCTAAATTTGGCAAATTGAGCTTAGGTGCACATAGGGGGCTTAAAATATTTCACACTAAATTTACCTTCAAGTTTTCTACTTATTAGACGCATAATAAGGCTAGGGATAATAGTCCAGCAAAGCAGTACACATGGTAAAATTAACAGGATAGAGTAAATGCTGTCTATAGCATAACATCTTAAAAATCTTTTACAGTTCAGCATAGAGAATATAAGTAAAGCAAGCTAAATGCTCCCAGTTATTTTGTAGTGAAGAAATGAGTATTTATCTCAGTCTATTTTGATGTCACATCCTTGAAAATTTTGTTTTTTAACCTTTATTACCTTGCTTTTAACATGTACCTCCTTATGCTTTAGGTTCCAACGGTGTTCTCAATTTTGATTTTGGTATTTATTCTGTTATTAATTTATTCTTTTTCATGAAACATGATTTAGCTGTAGCATGATTTCACTCTGTTTAGCTCATTAAGAATGCCAGACATGTACATTGCAGTCTTTAGTACATTTTTCCTTACATTTTAAGCAATTGGAAGTGTGCTGAAACTTACTGTTGGGTTCTTTATTAATGTAAAACATTTCCCAATACAAATGCATTGTTTATATTTAATAATCTATTTATCTTATACATGCCCACATTGTCACTATATAAGCCCAAGCTGGTTTTTAAAAAAACTGATGATCAGTACTAGAAGTAATATAAATTCTGCCTCAATTCAGCATTATTTTCAGCATTATAATACAATGACTTTTAATTGAATTTATATCACTAGTCGACATTGCTTCACAGAACACACAGATTAAAAAATGTGTAATCCTCTTCCCTATGGCAACCTCTTCTGAATTTAGTCAAAGTCATATATCTTAATCCTGGTTAAAAGCATAGTCCTGTTACAGTCTGAAAGGCTGTTAGAAAGTTGCTTCACTTTACCAAGTCTATTTCTCTCCTTGCAAAATGAGGTGGATGCACTGTTCATAAGGTTATTGCAAGAATGAAATAATGCAGTTAACATAGATAATAACATAGGCAGTATAATGCTTAGCTTGTCTAAGGGAGGCTCAGTATATATTAGTACCCTCAACTTCAGTAATTATTGTAGCAACGTTATTGCTGCTAGACAAGAGAAATAGATAGGTTGTGCTTGTTAAATGAATAGCAGAATGAGCTGAAGGATTCACAACCCCTTATGTAAGTTCTGGAACATACCTCTGGGAACCTCGCTTGATAATATGGGAAAGGAGATCAGGGATTAAAAGTTCTATCCTCCCTCTTTCATAGTGTCTCAAATTTTGGTCTCTGACCTCTCTTCTCTCAGTCTACCACCTGGCAATCTCTTTTGTTTTCTTGTCTCTTTTTCTTTAGTCTTCTTTTCTTTTTCCTCTCACTCCTCTTTTTCTCTCTTTTAGCTCATCCTCCCGTCTTTTTATTTCCACCAACCTTTATGACTTGTACTTGGTCCAAAATGCCTTCTTCAGATCAATACATCATTTTAGTTCAGCACTCAAAAATAATTTCTTTCAGTCTTGAACCACTTCAGTTACACTGGGTTGACCTGGAATGTTTGTATTGTCTAGTGGCTTGGCCTCCTGGGCAATGAAGACAAGCACATGGCGCTGTGTCCACTTTATACCCATATTAAGGCTGTTCTCCTGAGGTTGTGGGTGTAGCAAATTCACTAGAAAAGAATCAGTCATGTTCCTAACACCTTGTTTTGGAATGTACTATGTGCTCAAGAAATTTCTGCTGAATAAGTGACGTCTCACAAATTTATGAACTTATTGTAGTTTATTGTATGGTTTATTCACATTTCCATTACCTTTACTAATAGCTGACTGCCAATATATGCTGAGTGTTAATTATGAATCCAACATTGTTCAAAGTACGTTAAACATTTAACAGTGGAATCCTCATAATAGTCCCAGGAGAAAATCGGAGACAGTAAATAAATTGTTCAACTTTGTAGAGCTAGTAAAGAGGAGAGATAGGTTGTGTGCTGAGGCATGCCCTATATGTCAGACAACACAGAACAAATCTATATAAATTTACACAAATAGAGATATTTTGGCATTTTGTAGTAATTATTCAAAATAGAGAAAGGAATTGTATGGCAGCAACTTAGTAGACACCAAGGGAGCCAAAATGTTTCCTTGAATAAAATGCAAATGAATGCTTAGAGAGTGTATCCATGTATGTTCCTAAGCACTTATTTCCTCTCCTCCCTTTCCTTTCCTGGTTATATATCTTACATTCGTTCTTTATTTTCCTTATTTGTCTTTCGCTTTAAGTATTTCATCCACATCTATTTAATTAGTAAATGTGATGGCTTCTCTTATTAAAGAAGCCACTTTTACTCCAATCCTGTTGTACTGCCACACTGTGCAACTTATCTGTGCCTTTTAAAGGATGATATGTGAGTAGAAAGGAAGGATAGTTGTCAATAAAAAGGAAAGTCTTTTGTGCATTCTAATCTCCAGAGCTGAACATATGCAAAACACACAGACAATGAAGTAAAAAAGCACTGCATAGTTCAAATTAAAATCAGGCGCTCTGTTAATAAACCCCCAAATAACACAGTCTTATTCCTCTTTTTCTGTAGTTATCTGCCAAAACTTTTATTTTAGCTTGGCAAGATGCAAGTTCTTAAAACCTTATTGCTCCTTTTAAAGACATGCTGAAATTATTTAAAGTGTTATTTTTTTGTGACTATACTATCCATGCAGGATTTTGTTTGATATTTTAGGAACTATATTTAGTCTATAATCTCTTTTACTACATTGATACTATTTTAGCCATTGAAAACTGTCAATCAGATTAAACTTGTCCTTGTCGCTTACTAATGTTAGCACCAAAGGATCAGTAGGTCAAATATCTGTTGAAAATTTGTTTAGAGATCTTCCCTTGACATTTTTTTAAAAATTAACTTTATTGGTACATTTAGGTATACATAATGATCACATTCATCATAGGGAATTTGTATGTGTACCTTATATAACTTGTTTCTTTTTTTCTCAAATCCTACCCTCCCTTTAACCCCTCTTCTTATTTACAAAAGCTGTTTCCATTTTTTCCTTGTTTTCTTTTCCCTTCCTTCTTTTCCCCCTGCCCCCTCCATAGTTCCCTTTCACATTTGAACATTTTCTTCCTATTTCATAATGGAGAGTATATATTTTGGTCCTTGTTTACCTTTTTGGTTTCTCACACCTGAGAAACTGTGCAGTATTTACACATATTTATCCAATTTATTTCACTTGAGTATGGTTTCAAGGTGCCTTTGACATCTTTAAGAAAAATTATTTGTTGTTCAAATTCATAAATTCCTGGAAACCTAGGAATTACTTATCATTTGCCTTTATAACCACAATGACTATATTAATAATTGTGTAAGATTTTAAAATTTCATTTATTAGTACATGGTTACAGTGCATGACATTTACAGTCCCGCTGAGGAGTAGGCACATGAACAAAACACAGTTTGCTTCTCTATTTAATCCCCTTCCCATCCACCTCCCTCCCTTGGTCTTGAAATCCCCTTCCTCTATTTATATTTACCTTGTTATTATTATTCTCAGCTTGTGTTTATGATATATAATGTTTACATTCATTAGGGTATTTAGTAACTATATATGGCAATATATTAATGTCTATTAAATTGATTAAATCTCAAGATGATGTCACTTGTCTATATCCTTAGAAATTTTTGTTGATTTGTGAGCATAACAATCTCAGGAATTTCCAGTGGAGAATGTGTCAGATATTGATTTCAGATACATTTTAATGCTCTTTTTGGCTGTCTATATTATTCACTCAAGGATTTTGCATTTTTAGAAGGATAGTCGACACTATTTGACTTTGCAAAATTATTATTTCTTTGAAAGAAATACAGCAATAGTTTGCTCTACAAAATGTTCTGATATAGTAGCAAAATTAAACAAATGTAATTGTACACTGAAGGTCACTATAGTAACTGAGGTGCACTAAACCAACTGAGGTGAACCTTCGCAGCAGTTGGTTAGTTGGGAAACAGCTGCTAAGTTTCAGGATGAAGAACTGGTCTAGCCACATACACAGATCAATTTTGTTCTGTTTATGGAAAATGGAAATCAGTGGGGTTTTTTGGTTTGTTCTAAGATGTCTCTTTCTTCCGTGTATAAGCTTTTCATAGATTGTGATGGTATCTTATCCACTTTGGTATCTACTAAATGAATATTTAATGCGTTGAATTTGTTGAAGTGGAAGAATGAAACGGAGGTGAAATAAGAGAGACCTAAAAGGTAAAGTTATATTTAGTTTGATTATCAGCCTAATTGCCCTCTATTATTGATTCTGTGTGATCCAAATGGGGCTTTCAAAATGTTAAGTTTAAAATAGATTGATGAGTGTCCAGTCGTATTTGAACTGGGAATTCATATGCACACCACATCTCAGTAACACTTGTAACCAATGTCGAGGGAAAGAAAGGAAGACAAACTTAAGAACCATTCCAAGAGGAAAAACGTGAAAAATTGCTTAGAGCAGGACAAAATGCACAAGAGTCAAAAATAATTCCAATTCATGAAGCTCAAAAATTGATATAATTCTTGTTACTGACAAGTTGGAAGTAAAAGGACACAGTGACACAATGGGAAGGTCATAATGTCTTGAAAAATCAGAAGACCTGGGCTCAGGTTCAAACCTCTCTCTAGTTAGTGATTCTGAACTGAAGGAAAGCCTTCAATTTTCTTGTTCCTAATTCTCTCTTTTCTAAAATGTATATTAAAATCATCTCATAAAGTTACTTCATGAGTATTGAAGTTAAAAATTTATGTTGTCATTTCAGGGATTGCTTAGAAACTAGAATCTATTTATTCTCTCAAGTAAAATAAGGATATACTTTTAAAAGTACAGGAAAAATCCTTAATAATGTGATCAACAGAAGAATCACTTAGCTCATTTTAAAGCTGCAAGTTACTTGGACTCTCCTCCCTCACTCTCCCTCTGCTTTTCGTTAGGACTCTGGTAGTCTATCGTGAACTCATTTCTCTGAGTTACTGTGCCATATTTTATGGTATTTTTTAGCCTAAAGTACAGAAAACGTAATTGCAAAAACATACACATCAAAGTAGTTTACTTTATATAATAAATATTTGTAGACAGAAGAGATTCAGAGTGGTAATTCCACAACTTGATTATGACACCCTTAACACAGTTGGCCTTTTTCATGCTTTTCTACTTCAGCTTATCTATAATGCTAGAGGCTTACATGGGTCCCCGATAAATATTTCCATCTCAGGCATTAGCTGTCTTTCAAGAAGAATAAAGGATATTCTTCCCTGAACATTTTTAAAAGTGAAGATTACCCATTACACACACTAGAAATAATTTCATTTGTGAACCAGATATCATGATACCAATATTTAAAGATATTTTTAAAATACTCAAATTGAACTAGCCAATAGAAAAAGATAATAAGATAGGGTTTTACTCTGAAATATAATTTATTGATAGTTCAGAAGTTACAGTGTAAATAGTTTAAATGTGCAGAAACTTCAATTAAATACCTTTCATATTGAAATTTCTTATAATAATTACTATGCTGAGTGCTAAATTGATTGAGTAACATAGCCAAGTTTCTAGTAGAAGCAACTAGAAATATATAAAAATGAGAGGGGTGAAAGCCAAGTGAAAGTTCCAGAGGAAGCACGAACAAGATCTACCTAAGTGAGGAAAATTTCATATAATAAATTTTGACTTCTAGAATAGGGATAGTAGGAGGTTCAACAGGAAAGGGAAACAGTAAGCATAGATTTCCACAAACCAAATCACAAATACATGGATGGCATTAGGGAATTATGAAAAGTTTCTATTGACACAAGTGAAGAAAATGGCTTCAATCTGTAAATTGGACTTTGACCACTAAATGTCCTCAGGGTCAGGTTTAGGAGCTGTAAGTACACAATAAGAAAGCTGAAACCCGGAATTATTTAAGGAAGCCAGTATCTTCTATTAGGGAAGGGAGTTAGTATGCAGAATGTAAGCAAAATCAGATATTTAGGGATTCCAATCATAAATCAGAATAATTTTATAAGTAAAAGAATTTTATAAATATCCATATGACCGTGCCAATTTATAAGGGCATAAGAACAATTATCTTAATATAAAGAATAAGTAAATCTAAGATTTTCTGGACCCCAGGAACAGGAAGAAAGATAATATATTTAGCAGAAATCTGATAATAAAGAGAGTTTATTTGGAAGATATTATACATTGCTCAGATTAGCATCCAATCCAATTAAGATAACTAGTGCAGTTTCAGATGCAAATATTTGAAAACTACAGGTCTGAAGCTTGGAAGAAATTTCAACAATATATTAAGATATTTAGATGTCATAGCTGTATTGATGATCCACAAAAACAGAGAGGAGATGTGAAATAAAAGATTCATAAAATGAAATACTTAATTGATTTCTGTCTCACATCTTTTTGTAACAGAATCACTATATACTTACCATTTGAGTATGTATTTGTATGTCTTGCCTTAGCTGTCTCTGAGAACCATATCCTAAAGGTTTTGGAATCGTTATATGATGGTTTGTGGAATTGATTTTCAAAGAGATTAGATATTCGTCTGTTCGTGCAATGAGAAATTGGAGAAATGAGGCCATTAGTGACTACTATTTTATTAAATCCTATCTTTATTTTTTAAAATTACCTTATTTTTAACTGAAGTTAGCATAAAATTTTTGAATCCCAAAACATCATTATTTACATAAATGAAAAGAACGTGCATGCCTATTATATGCAATAGTCATGATCTAGAATTCAGTATTTAATTAAATAATCTAACAATATCTATGGTTCTCTAAATCCCTTCAATTTTTGAATGAATCACAATTTGTTCATTAGGATTTATGAGATAAAAAGATCAAATGAGTGTATTGTTATGAAAATTCTCAGGCAATATATAACCAAATTGCCATGAACTAAGACAGCACCCATGAATATTGGCAGTTGCTAAATTAACAAAACAAATGCTTCTTTGATTTTATTAGAATTTCAAAGTTTAAAAGTCCTGAGTTGGTTGAATAAATTTTGATTTAGAAAGAAGAGCATCACTTTGCTTTCATATTGTACTTTTCAAAAATCCCAGAGGATCAGAAACATGATAGTACACCTATGTGAAATATGAATTTGTTTACAAGGGCAGCTGTTTCTTCTCCTTTGCTTATTTGCATCCTAAGTTTGTATATTTACAGTATTTGACTATTCCTCCTACAGATGCTGTTTTTAATGTTTTGGTTCAGTATTTAACTCCTTCAGTTTCTTTTTAGTCCATATTACTTAATTACCTATACACACACATATAAGAACTACATAAATACTTGCGTACTATGAAAATATGTATATATGGATATATATGGTACAGTACATAAAATGTTTTTGATACTGTGTCTGTTAACTGAACCAAAATTTTCTCTGCTTTTGCTTAGAGATGGCCTGCTTTGCAAAGGTCTGTATAAAAGGCTCCCATAAGCTGGTTTCAATAGCAATATGTGGGCAAGAGGACTGTTAATTCAAGAAAGATCGTTAGTTTATGCATATTCATTAAAATTATTTTAACGCAATTCAACTTTGTAAATGGTTGCAGCCAGAAAAAGCTCTAATTAGAGAATTAATTAGAACTTGGAAAGGTATACTGTAGGGTGATATGTGAGCTTTAGAAAAATACCTGCTGGGGAGCTTGCAGTACAGGTTGCATTTATGCCAGGTAGAAATAAAACAGGAGGTTTCAAGTCAAAGGCAAGAGAGAGTAGAGATTTGTTGTTCAAGTTAACAAATACAGTATATTTCAGATCACAGTTATACCTATGTCTTGCCCTGTTGGAATTCATGTTTAAAAAGAGCTTACTCACTCACATTCAAAAGTCAAAAAGTTCCAATATAGCATTAAACCCATTGAAATACGGAAAATCTAACTATGGAAACTGTTTTCCACGCTCAAACTGGTGCTTCTTTTTCTCTTAGCTACCTCCATGGTATCCCTGCCACCAGAAAGCAAAAGGAAGCAGCTGCTCTGAATATGTACAAACAAAAGGAGCTGTTTCTATAGCAACCATAGAACCCTGTGGAAAAGCTCTCCCTTTAACATTAGGCACCCTCTCGCCTCCTCACCCCTCCCTCTTCTTTGTGCACACCAGCGCAGACTGCCCTCGGACAGAAATGGCATTTGATAATTTGATACACATGGAGGACCACAGTGTCACGGCAGCCTTCCTTCCTACCTCACAAGAGCTGGAAGTCTTGCTCCTCAGCAAAGCTGATGAGAAGGCTATAGAACATGACAGCATTTATGGAGCCCTCTAGTTACCTGATGCCCTCAATTTTCCTTATCTTCCTTTAAAAAAAATAATAATGGCTTCTCTCCTTCACTACTTGATGAAGTAACGATGTTTCCTTCACCTCTGCCTTTCCTCTCGGTTTTCCTGTCTAGTCCATAGATATGCTTAGGAGCCAAATGTGGCATGGCTTCATGAAGTTTGTGACCGATTCCAGAGTTTCTATTAAATTAGATGAAATCTAGGACAGTATTAACCTCAGAGATAAATGCATGATGCAAAGTGTTTGACACTGTTGGGTTTTTTTCTCTCTGTGGTAGAATATAAAGGCATAGTTTATCTTAGTCGACTCAACTTGAGAAAACATATGCCAAATAATTAAAATTTTAACAATTTTATCTCCATTTTAATGTTTCTGCAAAGTTGAATTTTGATTTATCTATCAATAATGTGTTTCTTTCATTTTATATGCCTTTTGGTAGTTAGCCTTCAATTTACTAATTTCCTGTGTTTCCAAATTAGTTTTTCAATCAATAATTCAGAGACTTCAATTCATTTTTGTCAATAATTTAAAAGTTGTAAACTATTTAAATTTGGATATTCTCCATTAACTATCCTCATAAACAAAATATAGCTATTTGATAATACAAATTTATTTTATATTTCATTGAAATATTTAATCTGTGCAACAAAATGTACTAACAGCAAGGTACTCTTCTATTTATAAATTTATTACCTGATACTTTATAAACCTTAAGATACAACAATGCCTTGAATTAAACTTTCTAAATGGGGCTAAACCTTATAAAACTTGTCCATGTTAAAATTTAAATATTCATTTAAAAAGTGGTGCAAGTGAAATAGTACTATCACTTATTAATCATGTTTAAATGATTTCATAAATAAAACTACCAAATATTTATATGTGAATAGACATGAATAGATACACATATCAATGCGTAAGATAAAACTCAGAAAAAAATCCATTTATTTATACATTTGCAATATACGACAGGTATTTTTCCAAATCTGTGAGAAAAGACTGCCTTACGTGTAGTCAGCACTTAGGTATATCTGTGGAAAATGCATATATGTATACTTGAAAATTTACTTATAAGAAACTCAAGAAGAGATGAATTAAATATAAATGATGAAATTACAGCACCAGGAAAGCCATGAAAGAAACATTTTCAGAGCACTGAGAGCTCACTTTCCACTTATCAAATTGAAAAATTATGATTACATGTCATGTTGATCACTGTTGGGCATGGGAATCAAGTATGCTTATGTATTGCTGGTGGGAATATATACTAATAAAACTTCTCTTGAAGGGAATTCAAGTATAGTTTGGGAAATTTCATAAGTACATATTCTTTAGTTGTGTAATTTCACTTCTAGAAATATAGCTTACAAGTGCAATTAAGCACCTATGAGTGACAAAATATGTATTCGTTACAAGAAAGAAATATTTATGCCTATGAATACGGTACAGGTTTACTACATTTTTACAGCCAAATGGTAGAATTAGTTAGACATTCAGAGAGAGAGGCAGGGCAGCAATCTATTCATAAAGTCTTTACAAAGTGACAGGGAATAATCTCAAAGCTCAATTGTTAATTTTCTTAAGTCACAGGGCAAACAATGTACAGAGCAATCTAATTTTGTGTGGAAATAATAAACCTATGTGTACGTGTGTAATTTGCTTAGAATATCTCTGGAAAGACACACAAACACACACTAAGTTAGAAACTAATTAGAAACATCAAAAGTCTCTAGTGATGTAATATATGTACCTCAGTATCTTCATAACTAGCACAATTATTTTCATAACTAGTGAGAAGACTTCATTTTACAACTTTGGTATATTTTAAATTTTGTTACCCATTCAAAAAATAAATGTATAAAAATGTTCTAAAAATATTATTTTCTAATGCAATTTATTCAAAGTTTGGGCAGAAAACAGAGGAAAAATCAGAAGAGCTGTGAAGAATAAAAATTGCAAGTAAAATAAATTAAATGGAAATCCAATTTAGAAAACAGGTCTCCAATGACACTCACTGATCTTTTGAAAACTCTGATACTTGAGCTTATTGAAAGATACCTTGATAACAAGGAAATGGTAGACAAAGTTGAGTGGTAAAATTTTATCAAATTTAATGAAGAGTGTGATGACCACATACCAATGTGCAGTTCATATTGGTGGTCATCACACTCTCCATTAAATTTGATAAAATATTTGTTATCTTTACAAACACCTATAGTAAAGAGACAATAATGTGATGTAAACACAGTAGATTTAGATGCCTTTCACTCCTTGGAGATAACCCTCAAGCATATAAGAAAAGAAATGAGATAAAGTTAATATTAATAACACCAGGTAGAATATTTTTCAATTTCAAAAAAGAATATTTTTCAATTCATAGAAATAAAATTTGTAGCACAAAGCACGATTCAAAGTATACAATTCATCCTCGACAAAAAATGGTTTTCACTTTAAAACATGAAGCCAGAAGTAATATGATGGGTACCTCGTATTTAGAGTTTTGGACTCATACACACACCAGAATTCACGCACTTATCTGTGAATGACTTTTGACAGTTGCATCTCTATTTCCGTTTTTTCCTTCACCCTGGATTTCAATCTGTTCAGACTTACGTTCTTTTTTTTTTTGTTTGTTTGTTTTTTTTGTTTTTCTCCGGTACCGGGAACCGAACTCACGACCTTGCGTTTGCCAGGCAGGCGCTTTTTGCCGTTGAGCTAAATCCCCAGCCCCAGACTTACGTTCTTTATTTCACCTTGTGCTCTAAAGAGTAAACTTACTGCTGAAATCCTTATTAACAGAACTCCAGGCTTCTATCTGGTGTCCTCCTATATTCTTTCTCCTTCCTTCTTAACCTTTTCCTACTTACACAAAAAGTTAGTGCAAATATGCATGCCAGCATTATGACATTGTAAAAATTTTGAATTTCTTTTCATAACTCCATTTGATGTGTATATGGTTGTATATATGTAACAACTTCAAAATATAACAGTTTTTTTAAAAATTATGTTAGCTAATCAAAGGTTTTTGCGTGAACCACCTTGCCTGTTTAATGTAAATTTATTTTGGCTAGAGTAAACTGAATGTATGATACTTTATGACATGCTAAAATAGCAATATACACAGTATCTACTCAGTGATATTTGTAATATTTGGTGCTTTAACAAATGTTCTTAATCTTTAGAAAATAATACATGAATTAATGGTTTTGGGCATCCATATTTAAGATCACATTGTTTCATCCCTGTCAATTTTGGTCTCTTTTACTTGCTTTTCATATCACTTCTGTGATTTCTTATGTCTGCCAATAATTTTACTGGAAAAATGAACTTACTTTTATCACTTTGAAAACAGCATTTATGTATCAGTTTGCATTTCCATCGGTTTCTAATAATACCTTAGGATAGTCTTGATAGGATAGTCTTTACTGATTTTATTAATTTTACAAATATTTAAATAGAGAAAAAAATGCAATACACCAGTTGTAAAATATTATACAAGCTACACAGAGAAGGAATATGCCCTTGGAAATCGTTTCCTTCTTACACTTATCTGGAATATTGCTATATCCTGCTTTGAATTTTTATGCTCACGCTAGCCATTAAATCAAAGCCTCACTGGTTCTTATGGCTGTTGATTTTATCAAATGAAATTTCCACTGACATCATACTGTCCACAGCTCTTTCAGTTTTTGACCTGCAGTGCCCTGACTTGAAATTGACACAAAAACTTACAGTTCTGATAATATATTACTGGAAAATATTTACCCATTTTTTTATGCAGTACATATAAGCAAAGGCAATGCCAAATATTTTGGAATAAAGAAATACAAGAGAGGAAGTTTAAAAGTATTATCAGTATAAAATCTGTCCTTCAGGCAGAGGCATGTAAACCTTCACAAACATATATTTTACACAAGCACACGTGCACACTTGCACGTATGTTTACAGTATCTTTATTAAATTGCTTTCATGATCCATTACATTACTTGTCATAGAGTTTACAAGAGGGTAAACCTGAGCTTTTATTCAAGACTATGGCAGTAGTTGACACTTGGTAGGCAATGACTAAACTTGGAATAAATGATTAAACCAATAAGCTCAAGCAGTGTACACAGCCTCTATAGGACCCATTTTCTTCTCAAGTCAATTCTCCTGCAAGGGCTCCACCTAACCCAGGCCAAACTTGGGATGTGTGCAGTCCGCTGACGCAGTAAGCTCCAACCACCGTATTTCCTGTCATATTTTCAGCTTCTCTGATTCTTATAAGTATCAGCTTGGTGATAGAGAGAAGCGCACTGTGCAACTTGTAGTAATTTAAAGTTTTAGGTAATGAAAGCAATGCTACATAGGTGACATATAAAATGGATATATATTTTTGATGAGATAATTATGTTTCAGCATAACAAGTGCAAGGAAATATGAAAGAGTAGTTAGTATTTGATACAAGGATGGATACTGATGCAGGACCTGCCATTTTAAAGACTAAGAAGAGAGGTTAATGGGGATGAAAATATGTTACATGCATGTATCAATATACCAAAATGAATCTTAGCATTCTGTATGAATAAAACACACTAATAAGAAAACCTTCATCATTGACGATTTTAGAAATAATTTAGAAATAAAATGGTGTTTAGTGAATGCTCGGTGAACCATGGTCCATCCCTTAAAGGATCACACATTCTGT